CTGAACCCTAGGCCCTAAACCCTAAAGCCCTTGGCCTAGAGATGTTCGTTTCTCAATTGGAGGGCAGGGTCTGTGTATGAAGCCACAGGGCGATGGATTCCAGGACTTTGGACGGGCAGTTTTATTGGGTTTGAGCAATATGTCATATTCGAGTTTAGGGTTTAGGATTTAGGGTTTAGGGGTTTAGGGTTTGTAGGGGTGATCTAGGAAAGGGAAGCGGAAAGGCTTCCTCTCCGATAGATTGCAGTTCATTGGCCAATCAGTGTCGCTAGTGCATACAAAGTATAGAGCTTGATAAGCTGTGCTGGGGTGTGTGCGTGTGTGTACCCTGTGGTGGCTGTACATAGTAAGTGTGAGGTGGGGGGGCTGACGAGGCACAAGCTTGAGATGTCTGAGGTTGTTTGCTCCAGCCATCTTTAGTCCAAAGAAGTAATGCACGCGGAACGACGGTAGATCCCCGGGTGCGCTTTCAAGACTTGTGGTGCAGGCCGTCGCTACATTACATCCTGCACGTGCATAGTTTCGCACATAGCACACGAAGAATACACGCGCCTGAACGGTTCAACGCTTGTGTGCACATGCGCGCATGTGTATTTTCACAGACTTTCATACATCCAGACTACGCGCTGGAGTACGTTACACGACATAACATTTCGGCACAGTGCGCAGCATAACATCCACACTTCATTTCTGCATTTCGCGGGAAGGGCATAATTAAATGCGTGAATATTCAGCAGCTACGTGATGACGAGTCGGGCATCATTTGAAAAGTAAAGTTCGTTTCAATTTGTTGGGGATGACCGGTGCGCCTTCTGGGTCACCCATCCATCCATGAATCCATCCATCCATCCATACGGACATACCTGCGTACAGGCCGACATGCATAACAAGTGCATACATGGGCACTCACATAGTATATGTACATACACACACGCGCACTTCTGCAATATATTCGAAGATACCATAATATTCTTGTACTGAAACATCATATGCTATACTATACTCTGCTATACCATAATATAACATAGTCATATAGTATACATCTGCGCCGTCACTGTATCACAAAGCGGCTTTTGGCAGGGGCCCGATGACCAGCTCCACCCGGACAGCTCCGTCCACACCCTGACGTCGGTGCTTTGCCCGGGCCTTATGGCAGATGCCTAAGGGTGTATTAGGCTATGATATGTTGTATTATGTTACAGTATATAGTATGCAGTATGGTACAAACAGTACGGAATAATACGGTATAGTAATGATGATGCTGCTGCTGCTGATGATGATGGTCATGATGATGATGATGATGATGGTGATGATGATGATGATGATGAGGAATCGCCAAATGAGGGGGCATGTTCAAGATGTATGTGTGTGTATATATATATATACACACATATGTATATGTATATGATCGCAGGCCCCAAAGAGCTTTCTGGGAGGTACCTCTTCACCTAGCTCAGAAAGGAAACGTTGGTCATCGAACCTAGCCGACTAACCGTATAGTCGCAGGACGCTGTGCTACATTGAATATCGCAACAAGCAGACACGCAAAGCTCCTTGCTGCAGGCTGGGCGGCAGCAGATCGGCTTCATCGAGTGGCCTGTAGCTAAGAGTCGGCAGCGAGATCGGGCAAACGGTGTAGGTTTTCGGGTGTCATGCACCCTCCAGAGAGAGGTTGATGACGGCATCACGATCGCATCTTCTTGCGATGGGAGTCTGCAGCATGACTCCTAGGCTGCCCACTACTTCAGGGATCCCGATCGCGCGGAACATTGGCCTCTCGTCCTTAGATCAATCTGGCCCTTCCTGCATGCTTTCTTCTGTCTCAGGCAGCGGCAAGCCTTGGAAATTCACGAGGTGGATCGGAAAGTGTAGTTGAGGCGATGATGCGGTCTCTGAGTGGGCCCCGGTTCAGGAGATTTGCCGACAGGCTTGGAACCCTGCACGAGGCTGGATGCTGGAGTTTTTGTCACTGTGGTCCAGGCGGCCAGGCTGCGTCCATGCGCTTTGTCGGAGGTGCTTTCACCACCGTTTGGGGTGGCACCAAGGACTCCGACTCGGCATTTATCGAGAGGGGCAGGGCAGCAGAGAGTCCTTAGCCACAGAGGTGGGGCCATCCGTGCTGCGGTTGGCCGAGCTCGGATTCATTTCACCAGAGGTGGGCCGAGATTTTTGATCGGTTCTATAAAGTGTGCTAGACTGCTTTAGGGATGATCAGTGCGATTGAATGTTAACCGCTGTTAACCCACATCACAAACACTGTCGCAGCATTAACGGATTAGGAGCAGAAGACAGAATAGATAGAGCACACACATATTGTTCATACATGTCATCTGTTGTGTTGTTCTCATACCCTAGAGACGGCAGGCGAGTGCTTGTCGTAGTGATAGTGGTAGTGGTAGTGGTAGTGGTAGCAGTAGTAGTAGTAGTAGTAGTAGTAGTAGTAGTGCTTTGGGCTGTCTCGGCTTCACTGCTCTGACAGTCTGGAGAGGACGCCCGCTTCCGTGGGACTGTGCGCGCCTTTGAAGCGGATGCAGATGGGCGCTCAGAAAGCTCTCTTGGCAGAGATTTCTTTGGATGACGAATTGCGGAGTTTCGTGGCTCTGAGGCGTTGTGTGCGAGCTGCTTGAAAGGAACCGATGGCGAAGTACTTGGCGAGGTGCCCGCAGCCATGATGCAGTTTAGCATGCCAGGGATCTGGAGTATGTAACACCGTTCCGGGATCTCGCGCCTGCTAGGAGTCAATTTTAACGGCCTTCGCCACCTGCTTCACAACGAACACTTTGTGGGTGCCTCAGATATGCATCGCCTTCGGCGGCACCGAGCTGCCGGTTGTTCTGAATGTCAGCCGCGTGCAAGGTCATTTACAGGTAAAATATCAGGTGAAATTTAAAGGGTATATATATATATACACACACACACACACATTTGCAGTTATGCCTCTCTGTCCGTGCATCTCACTTTCTAAGCTGATGAAGCCGCCCAGGCTTTGGTATAGCGAGGCGCTTCGCAGTATCGGAGCGACGATTGAATCCAGGAGGCTTGTGGAGGCGGGCGCCATAGCTTGAGCCGAAAGTCTCCATTGATCGTGTATGCTTAATGCGCGTGCGTGTCTTTATATAGTATGTGTACTCTTAATTATACCTATACCTACGTCTATATCATTCTATATCTATAGCTATATCTCAAGTCAAGACAAAAAACGCACCAACAACACGCCACCAAACAAACATCAACAACGGCAGCAGCACCAAACCATCTGAGCCGATACCCCGTCAGGTCACTGACGTGGAGCTGATTTTTGCAAGCTAAATTAGTTTGTTTGATTGTTGTTTAGTTTAGGGTTTAGGGTTTAGGGTGTAGGGTTTTGTTTGTGTTGGTTCCCGTGCCTGTTCTGCGGTTGTGTTGCTGTTTTTTTTTAGTTTGGCCCTGCTACCGCACAGCTCGCGCTGTTCGTTTCCATGCATATGCACTTGCAACAGATGCAGCATGAAAGTACATCTGGCTCTAGTCATACATGTATCCATTTGTCCACGTCTGTGTCCATGTGTATTTGCACTGTTCTTCAATGGGTTTGTCCAGGTATTTATCAATGTGCAACGTTCCCCATATTCCCCAGAGATAGAGCGGCAGATGAGTAGAAAGCGACCTACGTAGATGTTACATTATCACATATATGTATATGTATATATACACACACACATACACAGGTACATACATACATACATACATACATATTGGCTTGCTTGCTTACTTACTTCCTTGCTTACTTACTTACTTACTTACTTACTTACTCACTTACTTACTCACATACATACACACATATTGCGCATTGGAGAGAGAGAGGGAAAACAACAAAACAGGGCCAAGCTTCTCAGCCCTTCGTTGCATCTTGCAGAAGGGCTGAGCTGAGGCCCTTCTGCGGACCTCAAAGCATCCCGGAATGCTGGCCGAGGACCATATACCTTCCGAGCCCCCTCTTTTTCTGGATTTAGGGTTAAAGTTTCGAGTTTGAAGTTCTTGGTGCTATGGTGTTGATGACGGTTTAGGGGTGAGGGGTATGTGGGGTTTGATCGTGAGGGTATTGCGGCCCCGGCCTGCAGATGAGGTCTTCTCGGGGTGCTCCATTTGATGAGGCCCCAAAGCCGCTAAGCTCCCATCTGCAAAGAAGGCCATCGACCTCCAAACTGGCGAGCAGTGGGGAAACACGCCTTGCACCTCTGCTCTGCGGGGGACCTAGCGGGAATGAGCCTGGAATTGGCATGATCAGAAGACCAGCACCTGTCACTGTACTTCTTAGTCTAGTTGTGGTGTAATAGCCGATGAATACTGAACCCTAACCCCTAAACCCTGACTGTTCTGCCATCTTCGCTTCGCCGAGGCTGTCGTTACTGAGAGTGGCCCCTAGGCTCTCCAGGACATGGCGGGAGGTGTAAGCAGGTGAAGGGCTTGGTGTTAGGGCTTAGGATTTTAGGCTTTAGGGTTTACAGGGTGTAGGCTTTAGGCTGTAAGCACCACCCGTCCTATTTCAGCCTTCGGCACAAAGCAGCCGAAGCTTTCGTTTCAGTCTCCTGTTAGCCCGGCTCGCCGGGCTTTGCATGAGACAGCGCAGATGCTCACCAGCAGCGCGGGTAGACAAGCAGAGCTTGCGGGCAGATCTATGAGCAGCCCTGAACCTTCGACCCCATTCGAGCCCTAACGGTTAGAGTCTTAAAGCCCCAAACCCTAAAACCTTAAAGCCCTAAACCTTAAAGCCTGAAAGCCCCAAGCCCCCAACCCTCAAACTCCTGCAGCCACTAGCCCTTAAACCCCTAAACCCTAAACCCTAAACCCTAAACCCTAAACCCTTACTGCTCTCTCTCCACCTGTCTCGCAGGCGGTGCCGGCCCTTCGGGGCTACTTCCTGGTTGGAACGATGACCGCCTGGACTGATCTTTGGGGGTTTAGGGTTTAGGGTTCAGGGTTTAGGGTTTTGGGTTTTGGGTTTTGGGTTTAGGGTTTAGGGTTTTGGATTTTGGGTTTAGGGTTTAGGGTTTTGGGGGAGAGGGGGCGGGTCAAAGGTACCCATGCGGGCTCAAAACGCTGAGATGAGTAGGAACGTGATCTGTCAGCACCTACCCGATAGGCAACTATCGAATTCGAGCCTTGATCAGCACCCAACTTCCGAACATGATGAAGATATGATATGCTGCTTGCGACCCCGAGCACGAAGCCTGCTGCAACTTCGCAACATCTTCTTCCAGACTGCCTACAGCTGGCACATCTCCCGGAGTCCTGCGCGACCCAGATCCCCAAAATCTCCTCTGCGAAGCATTGATCCTAAATTTTAAAGCCCTAGGGTCTCTAATGAACTCATAACACACCCTAAAGACCTCGCAACACCCAAACAGCATCAAACAGCCCAAAAAGCAGAGCCCTCGAAGAGTCGGACCCGACAAGGACAGATGGCGTGAGAATGGAGGAGGAGTCCGATGGGGTCTACGCCTACACGCTCCTCGCCGGCAGTTCGGGTGTAGGGTTTGCAGGGTTTAGGGATAGGGCCCTCAATAAAATAAAGGGCCGGGGTCTATTCGAATATAATAGTAGAATGTGGATCGAGACAGTTCAGCTCAGGGTCCAGGACAAGAGCGGGAGCGATCTACTTTTCGGGCTGCTTGGGATTGCGAGCTGTTTGCCCTTGCAGCAGTGTTGCAGAGAGTTTCCTTCAGGAAGCTTTAGCTACCCTAAACTCCTAGACCCTAAACCCTAAACTCCTAAACACTAAACTCCTAAACCCTAAACCCTAAACTCCTAAACCCTAAACCAGGCTGACCATGGGTGACAACAACTGGGAGAAGTTCCAAGTCTGGCTGGATGAGGATCCTGACAAGGCAGGGGGGGTTCGGGTTTCGATGTAGGTGTCTTTTGCAAGACCCGAAACCCTAAACCGTTTAGGGTTTAGGGATTATTTGGTTTAGGGTTTAGGGTTTAGGGGTTATTGGTTTAGGGTTCAGGGTTTAGGGGCCTTTTAACCGTAACACCCTAAAGCAGCCGCTTTGGAGGTTCTGTATCCGGCGAACCCCAACGAGGGCAGAGAGGCGGCCATCGTTGGACCTGAGAGCAGCGTCGACAAGGCCCACCGAAACCCTAAGCCCTCATAAACCCTCAACCCCCCCCCCCCC